AGAAGAGCGTCAGAAACGAGTGGGTAGATGAATTTCGCATCTCATCGCTCGATCGATCTAGAACTATCCAGTTCAAGGACAACCAAAGAAGGTGCTGTTTGAACTAGGTGTAATACCCGAGCACCAAGTGTCACGGTCTGGCTAAGGATATTAGGCTTCGCCTCGATATCATGCAGCATCGACACGCACAGGTGGAAACATGCCAGCTGGCGACCATACCATTGCGTGCCGCTTCCCAAATCGGAATTTGGCCCGCAGGACACTCGAAGCTTCCAAAGGGCACACTTTTACGCCGCAGGAATCGTAGCTACGACTTGTCTCGCACGCTTCAGGCTTGTACACAGTCCCGGCTCCGTCACATTTCGTGACATTAGTGTTTGAGCACCAGGCTTCCAGCGAAGCGCTCAACAGTCATCAGTTCCTATGTATATAATGTTTTCAAGCAAGCGCCTGTTCTTTATGAAGCCACGAATATACAGCTTCAAGGTCGCAAAGACCAGCATCTCTTCGTATACTGGGCCAAATCGCTACAACATGGCCTTCTGTACACGGTCTCGTCCCAATCTCAACTATCTGAAAGAGCGCGTATGTCATTTCCTCACACCCAACGTCGGACTCCTTCTCCTTCGTACCAATGAGACTGGATTACGAAAGAAGGCGTTGACCGACCCGTTCGAGGGATCGCGGGAGGATTTGGAGGAATGAGGAAAGCAGGAACATGGAGTTCCTGCTGGTTGAGGGTGCCCCTGTAGCTTTTCCCTGCGATGTATCCGACCACACGGGTCACGCAAAATCATCGGTCAGCACCTCTTCCCTATCAGGGTCCAAGAGCGAACAGAGCACCATGGCCGACGCTGTCCCGCACGGCATGCTTCGGCAATGCCGCGCGAAATCGTGCGAAAACTCGTACCTTAGACCGAGAAGGGAATTTTACCGAGCACCTCTACGATTCAGCATTCAGCATCAGATCGTATGGCAGTTCCAGTAGGTTTGCAGCACTGCAATCTTAAACATGACTTGCGACTGATTTCACAACAGAGCTGTATGTCCATGACTGATGCTCTACCCGAATTCGATTCGATGCCTTCTCGATGCGCACCAATTATTACGAGCCGGTTTCACATGCATTAGCCACGAACACGCGAGCCAGGCTGCCGACTGACCTCGCACGGCTTTTCTCAACTTTGAGTAACGATCAGTCTAGCGGGCCGTTGTCGCCACGACTTAGTGCGGGAAAAGCCTTGTAAAAAGCACCCACCGCTGTGGAGAAGGACCAACCATGCAACAACGAACCGAAGCTACCGAGAGGCGCCACTAACGCGCAGCGCACTATTCGACAATGGTTGTCAAGTGGACGACTGTGGTCCGGGCAATTGTGTACACTCATGAGAACCATGTCATCGGTACAACAGCGGCTACGGTACTGGTGGCCATTCGTTCCTCATCTCCATGTTGACATCACTGGGCAGCGGAACAATAATCCGCCATGCGAATGGTCCCTTGTTTCGGAAACCGACAACCGCGTAAATGGGCTTTCAGCACCGGGTTACAGACGTACATATGCATATATGCCACTCTGGGATACACCGGTGACGTGGATATTTCCGGCTTTAACACACAATATGCAATCAAACACACGTTCGGTGGCTTACTGGTCGCTCGCACAAAGTGTGTGTGATTGAAGCTTCGACGTGCATGCTGCCAAGACAGCCACTGCAGCTCAGAAACGCGTCTAACGCTGTATTACTGATCAGGAAAATGAGTATAGAGATCATTATTCATGTTTCGCCCTGCCTCTGCGGCGCGGGACCCGCACTGACACACAACACAATGATACGCATCCGACTCTAGGACAGACTCGTGGCCCAAATCCGATTTGCAAGGTCATGTCTCTGTCGCTTGGCCTTGCAAACCCGGCAGACTTAGCGTATAGTCGGAACCGAGTCGCTGGAACCACCCCTTGCTCATTGGCTCCTTACCGCTTTGGAGAGGGATTGTACCTAACCACGCGGGATTTCGGTCCAATTCAAGCACCGGGAACAATGACGTGAAAGGGTTCTCGGCGGTCCATCTTGCTTCGCCCCCACAGCCAAGCGCGTGCCCGACACGCCTTTTGCTGACGTGTGGATGGAGCTTGGAGAATCGCCAGGATGATCCGGCGGGGCGCGGCTGCGCGGGAAGGATGACAGTCACTTGATCCCTCAGTGTACTTAGCAAGGATGAGACAAGGGGAAGCACGAAGTACATTCATTCGGCATCACGTGAAAACCGTTGTGTTTGGCTCAGATCTCAGCACCCTACAGGCGGCTAGCTACAAGGTAATGCAATGGACGATCCGGCATGCAGGACCCGCTAGGGCGAACGGGCTGACTTGAAGTAACGCCGCGGCTTCAATCACTTCAATCCGCCGTCTGTGTTGCCCGCGGCTGGAACGATCGAGCTATCGGACCGCTCGCCAATTTGTTAAACGGAGTCTCAACGATGCAGAACTGCCTCTAGGAGGTTGATGACCGGAGTGTTTACCAACCTAGGACATCAGTGCCGGCGGCACAGTGACGGGCGTCAGCCCTCCCTTGTCCACTTTGCCTATCTCAAAGCGTCTAATCGTATGTTTCCTCAGGCGACCATAACACCGCCCCACCCCACAGCAAAACTACCTTCTAGATCACCTGCATGAGTCGATGAACGCAGCACAGTGTGGCCAAGAAATGATAGACATCTCACCTGCGTACGTATCGTTCGATCTTGACGAAATTGTGGCCCATGTGTGCATCCAGAGATCTTCCGTGGGAATTTCACGCACTGTGAGCGTCTCCACGATGTGATCGAGACGCGCAAGTGACCCGGCAACGTACCCGAATCCGACCTGGTCTCGCGCTCGCGTCTCTAGATCACCGCGCCGCAGTTGATGAGCATTTAGGCGGGCTACCCACAGTGCAGTCGGCGATATGTCATCGCTTGTCAGAAGTGAGGCCTTCGCAACTTACACACGAACAGAGAGCATCAGAATGCCATCTCCAGCAGCACTCAAACACCAACATCTGACGCGCATCCTCTTCGCGTGGTGAGCCGTCGCAGAGATAACAGCCGGAGTTTCGAACCATGTGGTCCTCGCATGTGCAAGGCTGACGTGCATGGTCAAGGTTACACATGGGGCTCCAGGGCAATGGTTTGGCTCGTAGCGCTCGCGTGTCCACTACTGCGGGAAACGTGCAGTGTCACCTTCGAGAAAGCCGGTTAAAGTCAGAGCCGTCTACCAAATGGGAGGACTGTTTCAATGAGGCGGCGGCATGTGCGTGGGAATAGATTAACCGCACATGGCGGCCAACAGCCGTAACAGGGGTCTTCAGCAGTCCTTTCATGGTGGTGGACGCGAGCCTGTCATACGGTCATATCATTGTCCCATATACGTTTAGGTGTCTGTTTCGTAGCATTTCAGCCTCAACCGCCGGCTGAGCTTTAGCGGAATCCTGCGCCGAGATGTTTTGATGCCGTAGTGCACTGGGGTTTGGTCGGCATGTGTCTTTTGTGCTTCGAATCGAACTCGCTAGAGCGTCACATTGTCTGGCGACTGCAGCATCATCTTTAATCTCGTAACGCCTTCTTAGTCTGGTAGGCAATGCGTTGAGCTGGTCATTGCTACCGGCATACTCACATGTAGGTAAGGTTATTGGGTACCCAGCCTGCGCCAACATTACGCCCTTCTCGTGTCTGAACCCGATAGTCGCCCTTGAGCCCGTCGATGCCTGGCGTTCAGATACGAATACGCGTGCCGTGCCGGAATCAGTCAGCAATAAGGCCAGTGCATGTTATGATGTCACATGATCCCAGACATCGTTCTTGAATTGCAACTGGCAGAACAGCATACACGGATGAAGCGCCCTACAGAACCAACGCGGAATGCAGATATGAACCAAGTCTTGTAAAGTCTCCACGAGACTGAAGAAGTGACCAGCACATTCGTACTTTGCTCTGCTGAATGCTGGCATGGACATTCATGCAACAGCTTATCGTATAGCAAGATGGTTTTGCATTCTGCAGTCCACACGATGTTTCTAATGCTGTTGGCTGACGAATGTCTTGATACCTACCAGTGAGTACTGTGCCTTGAGCCGACAGTGAACTTGAATTAATGCAAGGTCAGTGCGAACACGATTTGTAAATCGCACCAGGAAAAAGGGCGTCTGGTGTTGCGGCGATCCGTGTTGAGGCTGAGAGCGATGGATGAGGGCCGCTCCGCACACCGGTGACTCCCCGCAGAGCTAGGACCAATGACGACCAATGACTAACACGGCAGTCGCGACCTCCATACTTCCAACAGTCGACGACCATCTCATGCCACCGCAGCTTCCCCGTCACTCAGAGCATCACCATCACTAGAACTGCCAACACTCATGTCTCTCTCTAATTTCTGAACGCCAGCTTGGCACCCTCACGCAACTCGTCGACGAGTTGCCTCTAGTCATTGCTTGACGAAGTTCCACTCATCGTTTGCCCTACACACCCGTCACGATGCTTCCTTTATTATCGCAATTATTTCGGACGCACTTCTCACACACCAACTCACGATCGATACCACGCTTACTCACCAGCGCAACGCGGCAATACGCAACTTGACCAGTCTTACCCCGATCGCCCCCTCCCGCGAGGAATAGAACCACGAAGACACATAACCTCTACTACGCAATATGGCCTCCATATTTACCTTCGACCCCGATCCTCCGCGTGTTTCGTCGCCGTGGGCGATCACGCCCACCGGCGGCGTTGCGCACTCCCCGGTTCCAGCCACGAACCCCCGACGAATTCCTTCGACTCTCGGTAGTCTTGGGGACGAGACGAGCGCGAATGCGACATCTCTTCCCACCGATATAGATTATACGCATATTACAAGGTTGGAGGCAGAACCCCAGGATGGGCCTACGGAGTACAAGCTACATCTGCTGCTCAGGCGACGGCGGTCGTTCACCCGTTCCAGTACCGCACGCCATATATCTGGGTCCATGCGTCGACCTGAAATACCTATACCAGCGGGTCGCAGCGTATCAGAGTCCGGCGTCCTGGCCAACACTCCCCCACCACTGGCATCTACACAGTCAAAGCAGCATCGTCTGGAGCAGCTGACTACTCAGTTGCTATGGCGTCTACAGCAGTCATGCCCAAACCACATGTCATCATCCATGGCACCTGTCATACCTCATTTTCCCGACGATGCACGTCTGTCAGGGCCCGAGATGCCTCAACGTCTGCTGCCGGGGTTGGAGGAGAGTAGTGGTGCGCTCTATGAGATTGGAGTCGCGGACGACGGAACTATTGTTGGCCTGGCAGAAGACGAGATGGAAGAGAGCCTGAACAATTTGCGCGCCATGGCTGCAAGCTTGGGCTGTGGAGTCAAGGTCATGCGCAGGGTTCCTGTAGGCGATTGCGAGTGGACAGAGGATTCCGGCACCGCAAAACAGAGGGTGGTAAAATCGCAATTACTAGTTGCCGAAGCTCTGGTCCGCCCAGAACAGCACTTGGTCGATCATACGAAGAGGAACGGGCAGGAAGCAGCCGACGTGCCGTCTGACACCGGTGCTAGCAACGTTGAGGCGCTGACCAACGAGTCTGAGGGAGTCACCGAGCAGATGCGTGTATCAGTGACCGGTGCTACCATGTCCGGTAAATCTAGCCTACTTGGCACGCTCTCTACCGCAACGCTGGATAATGGCCGAGGAAAGAGTCGCCTGAGTCTTCTGAAACACAGACACGAGATCGCATCAGGGATGACCAGCTCTGTCACCCAGGAGTTGATAGGGTACCGTGATGTAGGAGGCTCATCACGAGTGACTAGCTATGGCTCTGAGAACATCGACTCATGGATCGACATTCACGCGGCTGTGGAGTCAGCAAAAACCGGCCGACTTGTGTTTCTCTCTGACTCAGCTGGTCATCCGCGATTTAGACGCACCACCGTCCGTGGAATCGTCGGCTGGTAAGTGATCACTCTATATCATAGCGCTTCCTTCTTCCACATGTACTCTTTTGGGATGCCTTATTTTCATCATGTGGTGGACTTTGCTAACCTACCCACCAGGCAACCACATTGGACACTTCTGTGCATTCCAGCTGACAACACCGATGAGTCCTCTGGCAAGCTCGGAGCTTCGCCTTCAGCTGAAGAAATACTCGGCCCAGCAGCAGCAGATCTGGATCTGTCTCATGCACACCTTCAGTTATGCCTCGCTCTGGAACTGCCGCTTGTGATTGTCATCACGAAGTTCGATTTGGCTACCAGAACCGGCTTGGGAAACACCTGTAACAGGTTGTTTTCGGTATTGAAACAGCACAAGAGGACGCCTTGTCTCATCGGTGATGCAGCTACATCTGTGCTAGAGGCCGATCTACACACAGTTGATGGAGGAGATCCTAAGATCGACAATGCACTAAGTCTCCTTGCAGACTCACCACTTGCGGCAGTGCCGATTGTTTTGACTAGCGCCGTTAAAGGAACAGGAATCCGGAAGCTTCATGCATTCCTTCGAGAACTGCCCATGCCCAAGGAAGTGACTCAACCTGCACCTGCAGCAGTTTCGCCACTCTTTTACATCGAAGATGTCTACAGCGTCCGCACAGATACATCAAGTGATCGATCAGCGATCATCGGGGGCTACCTCCGTTACGGGTCTCTGGCCGTTGGCGACGAGCTGCTATTAGGACCCTACCCTGTCGATGTAAGCTCTGACGACAGCGACAGCGGTAGCGCAATACCAAATCGCAAGCCATCTATTCCTCAGTCGAGGTCCTTTCCTGGCGCACTGAACACGAAATCGAAGAACGCCTCATTGCGCGATCGGCATAGCGAATGGCGACGCGTCCGCATTACCTCTCTGCGCAATTTGCGTCTACCCGTGCGAAAGCTGCATGCAGGTCAGGTCGGGACCATGGGCCTCGCACCCGTCGATACACCGATTGTCAGTCCATCAATAAACAGGATACGCAAAGGCATGGTCTTGGCGACTCGCGAGCCTAAGGCGTACAAAGTCATCACAGTGCGATTCGAGGAGAAGCAAGCAGAAAGTGTCAAGGCCCTCAGTGTTGGTAGTGCAGTCGTTGTCTACATTGCTAGCGTAAGAGCTTCATCCAAAGTGCTTTCCGTTGCTGCCGAGCGTGCGGAAGACCCTACGCTCAAGACTCACGGACACGATGATGCTTTCGGGTTCGGCTTTGACGATGAAGTGGAGAAGTCAGCAACCGAGGGTGCAGTCATTGTGACCTTCCAATTCATCGCTTCGCGCGAGTTCGTGGAGGCGGGTGCCAAGGTGTTGGTCATGCCTGGTGGTGGGCCAGGGCTGTTCGGAGGTAATGAGAGGGGAGCTAAAGGTATGGCTGGGCTGGAAGGGTTTGTTGGCAGAGTAGTAGACGATGCTTAATATGGTTGTGGTCACAGAAGCCTATCGTCACGTCTTTCTTGTCTGAGAATGAGTAGGTATGCATCGTTGTCTCTATTTTACTTAGCAATGGCGTTTGGGGCAATAGACGATGTAATGATAATATATCTGATAATTTTACACATGTTTCGTGCGTGAAGAAAGCGAAAGATGAATGACTTGTCTCATCAAACATCATTGCACACATCACAACAATCACAAAGGTCAAGAGATGTTGCACGCCCTTCCCCACACGCAGGCACTACACCGCACGCATCCATGACAGACGCGCACGTCATGCACCCACGCGCCTCGTCACCACAGAATTGCATACCGTCCTCACCCGACATCCGTAAGGACCGGCTAGATATACAAGCAGCTCAGAGTGAAGAACTTGGGAAGAATTTTGCACGCACCGCCCCCAGCTATCCAGACAAAAGACACCATTTACATTACGGGAACCGTTCGCCTGTGAGGGGTACTAGGGGTAAAAGGGGCGATTGTCGGCGACTGTGAGTTCAGTACGGTAGTTGATGTATCGCTAGGCTATACTGAGCAGCAGGAATGGGTCTGGTCGCTGAGCTCCACCTTAGGCCGCGAAAGCATGTGTTGGGTCTGGGCTTTCTTTTTGAGAACACGAAGGAGAGGAAAGGGACGTGTTAGGGAGCACTGGGAACCGCTTACCGCTTGTATGGCGGCTATGATAATCGAAATGATAATTCGGGGATATCGTATTCAAGCACCGGCTTTCCGTGCATTCGGAGCACTTTCTTTTATTCAAAGGTAAATCGGTCGTTGCGGTTTCGTTTGTGATCAAGCCGCTGACGAGGCGAAGAGAACCTTCCGAGGCCCACCCATGGTCAAGTTCTTGGAAACGGCTGCACTAGTTCCGCTGCCTTCCATACTTTCGAGCATCCTGTCCATGCCACCGAGATCAAGCTCGCCACGAGTGAGGAGAGCTTGGTCTGTTCGGGTCGATGTTTCGTCTTCCACCTTTTCGCGCGCGAACATGGCGTTAAGATCACGTCCAAGAGGCTGGCTAGTGCTAGCGGTAATGATGAGGCGGTGCTCTGCTGAGATGAGAGTGTCTCTTGGGACGGCCATGCGTGAGGCTTGGGCTGTGGTGTCGAACTGCGAGACCGAGGTGATGGATTCGCCGCAAAGTACAACATCTTGTTGTTGAAGACCGGGGCCAGGCAAGGAACCTCCGCTGCTGGCGGAAGCAGTGCGAGTCCAGAACTTCATCAGATCTGCTATCCTGTGAATCTCGGACCCGTACCAAATGAGGACCGAGTCCTCTGCCGATACTCCGTTGTTCGACGTGATGCTCGCAACAGAAACGCCACCTCTGGTTGCTACTGTCGAACTTGAGGCGCTGCCCTGGAACAATGTTTCCTCTTTCCGCTTTCGTGTATTCGGTGTCATTGGAGCGAGTGAATTGCGGCTTCCGCGCTTTGGACTCGATGCGGCGCCAGAGGTTCCTTCTTTCTCGGCTGTACCAACATACCCCCGAAGAGAAAATGCCGATGGATCTGCTGGAGGACTTGGACCAGACCGGTCGACATCCCAGACGCCCCACTCGCCATCTGCCAGGAGAGCTATTATATGACGACCATCGGAAGCCCACGCTGCGTCGATGATAGCTTTACGCGATGGGAGAACAGCAGGAGTGAGCGCAACGTTCTTGACGCTCTCGAAGGATGACCTGAAGGTTCCCACAAATGCGCCAGGCTCCGCGCGACTACCGCTTCCTCGTCGCTTACGAATCGGTGATGCAAAAGGATCGTAGATGCGCGTAGTACCTGCTGAGTTCGCAATGAGTAGTTGCGAATGGCGAGGCTTCGGATATTGAGCAGTGTTGAAAGCGATACGAGAGGCAGGCTTGCTGAGAGCCAGCGTCTTGTAAGGCGCGACAGGATGGGACACCTGTAGTGCCGTCTCCGACAGCTCAAACCGGAACAGCTTGAGCAGACCTCCCAGCTCGGCGGAGTGGGATGCCACAAGTATATCGAAGCCTCCGTCGGCGCGCGATTGGGGTTTGCGCCTAGAGTTCGCTGTGTCTTCTTCCTCTTCGTCCATATCCACATCGTCGTCCCCATCTTCTGCAGAGCTTGGTTCTCCCCTTGCAGTCCAAGTCATAGTAACACCCATCGGGATGCTCTGGTGACCGTGGACCTTGACAATGTTCTCGCCGAATTGGGGTTTCACGCTGTGCAACTTGTCTTTTGCGACATGTGGAGGAGGGCTCAGAGGCAGCGTGATGACACGGATAGTCGAGTCGGCGCATGCGACAGTGAAAACGATGTTCTGACTGAATATGGGAGGTATGGTATCTGCAGGTCGGAGGGTAGACGCGCTCGGTATTTGGGGTACGGCGATGTGGAGGACTTGGGTGCTGAGCGACAGAGACAGCTGCTGAACGATCGAGGCATACGGCTGGTCTGGGTCGAGCTCTTCTTCTTCATCCTCAAACTCTGCCTTAGGCAGCGGCTCCGCGGCAGCTTTGGCAGGCTCGTCATCGTCCGAGTCGATGATCATGATGGCATCCTTGCTTGTTCCATTGACTTTTGCTGGCTTCGCCGACTGCTTGGGAGGCGGCGCAGTCTTCTTCAAAGGCCGTCCGCCTCTCCATAGAATGCCGACGCCCGTCTCGTGGCCGTATAGTACGATGGTCGAGCCATTGGGGGCTTTGACGGGGTATACGGTGGAGTCGTTTACGCGATGCGGAAGCTCGTACCTATAAGATGCTATGTCAGCAGTCGCGTGACGCGCAGCGTGGTGAGAACATACCTCAGCTGAGTCAGCTTCCCTTGCGTCGTGACAATGGGCTCCATGCTTGCAGCTCGAGGGTGGTGAGCGAAGCTACCGCCTAGGTAACGAGGAAGGGGTGAAGGATGCGACTTCTGCCCGAAGCGCAACTTTGTTCAGAATGTTTGAAATGTGTCTGATTGTTGTATTGGCAGTATGAGAGGTGCACGAGTGGCGCGACGTGATGTGTGAAGGTGAAGGAAGCCCGGAGGTGCTGCGGAGTTTGTCAACATTTCCCTGGGGAAGTCGCGCTCGACCGCAGCGCGTCACCTCAGATCGCGCGCCCCGCGCAAACAAACCGCCTTTCTCCCCCCGACGCACACACGCCACCCGAACCTCCCTCATGTTGCGGGCCAATCTTTCGCATGGCCTCCCTTCGCTCAATCGGGGTCCACAAGCCCTCCGCCCTGCAGTATCTGGTCCAAGAGTCCATCCTGACGGACGATAGCACCGACCGCGACTATGTCTGGGACACCTACACCGACGACAGCCCCGATGGCTACACCGACGAGCTCGTCACCACCGAATACCACGTGATCTGGTCGCGAGGCGGCGTCATACGCAAAATATTCAACTTCGAGGTTGAGAAAGAGAAGGTCAAGCAGGCGCTATTGACATGGTTCTTGGTAGACGAGCCCTCCCATGGCACCCACGAGCCCACCGACAACTCGTCAGAACACAAATCTGCCGACCCTGCAAAGAGCTTCCTCACACAAGGGACCCAGCCTGCTACCGATCCCACTGCGCCAGCCAGTCCCACAACGCCCACGGTGGAGAAGCTATCGCGTGCTCTTGTCGTCTTCCTGAAGTCGCAAGCACACGTCTTCTTCCTCTCGGGCACCACACACATCGTAAACCTCCCCTTCGAGGTGGACAAGGCCTTTCCTGCAGCAAGGGGAGTTGTGCTACAGAGGAAGCTTGCTCCTTTGCACCCTGTGCCCACCAGTCCGCAGTTGCCGTCTGCTCCACAGAATTCCTTCCTCACGAACAACCAGTCTTTCCTCTCACAACAGTTCTCCTTCTCACAGAGCTTTCATAAACCCCACCGGCGGCATGGCTCTTCAATGGGCGCATCGCGACATGGTAAATCTCGCCTGTCGGGTGCAAACACGTTTCTTGATGATTTGTTCAACCCTATTGCGCCTCTAAATCCAGAGTCGATACCCAGGTTATATTCCTTCACAGACCCGCTGTCGGAGCTGGGACTGGTGGTCAGCGTTGTCACAGGTGGTGATCGCAGCAGCTTCTTGACCTCCCAAGGCTCAGGTCATCGACGACTCGAGGCAATTGACAAAGCTGAGGAGATCATCTACGTGTCTCCGCGGAACGAGATTCTGTTCGATCGCAGTGGTAATGACAAGCCTCTTCTACTAGTAGTCACAGCAAACCACGAGACTAATGTATTTACCATCTGGTCCGCGGCCTATCTTGAGCCAAAATCAATATCAAGTTCTCGCAAACAGCACATTCCTCTACCAGTAGCCAAGTCTCGACGCCGTAGCTCATATGGTGGTACTGCACCAGGAACAGGTGCAACTACGCCAGCAATTCGTGGAGCTGACAGATTGAGGGAAAGCTTTGGCGGTGCTCCACGCAGCAAGACTCAACCCCCATCCTTCAAGATCACCAAGGAACGTCTCTCTGACCAAGCAGTCGACGACGCTCTTGCCTCACAACTCAATCCCGATTCCGACATCACCCGCCAGCCAAAGGAGTCTAGGCGAGTGAGCTCGCTGTTGTCACGGGCTGAACTCTCAACGAGCTTCGACAGAAGCGCGTTTCAGGACATGGCAACATCCCGCACCAGTATTGGTGGCAGCTTCAATGCAAGTCAGCGAAGTAGGCACTCACTGGGTCACGATCGTACAAGTTTTGGTGGCTTCTCACAATCTCGGAATCGAGCTTCCACCCCTGGTAGCGTTACATCCCGAATGAGCTTAGGTGCTGTATCGATCGATGACACCCTGGACGATGTCATGGACGAGGATACGTTCGACACTATAGAAGACTACGACGAGCTTGATGATCTGTTTGCACCGCCTGATGGTAAAGGAGGGCCGCAGCCTGGGGATGGACTCCACAAAGAGCTCATCATCAGTGTCATCGCAGAGCTCCCAGTTACACAATACCTCAAAAGTGGCCTCTTTGCCCTTGGGAACCCTTCAAATACTGAGGCAAGTAAGCATCGTTCCCAGAAAGATGACGTTACTAACGCTTGAGTAGGAATGGCATGAGCCAAAGGTACTGACGCTGAATGCACCCTTCAATTCAGCAACCCTTCATGAGAGAAAGCTGTACCTGTACATAACCCATCCGTCACTGCAACTTCCACTGGAATGTGAGCTCGCAGTCTCACGAAGAAGACTATCACCATCCGCGTCGGCCACCCAGTCGGGGTCGTCCAGTGCGGCTCCTCGATATGCTTGCGTACCGAAATTTGTCAGCTCGCGACAGCTCGATAACGCACTGGATCTTGTGAAAATCCGTGATGGCCATGTCGAGCGAATCGCGCAACTCAATTCAAGAAATCCCCAGGAATCTTGTATATCGTTGACTGCAGGTTGGGGTAGCCACCTACCGGTGAAGCTCACCTTGGACTCCATGAAGATGTTTGATCCGTATGCCATCATACAACGCGATCAAACCAGAGCAACGGTAGGGTCAAGACGAATCATAAAACCGAGTCAGCCGTTACAAAGGCTATCATCATTAGGGAAAAGCGGCAAATTAGAGCTACATGACGGTGAGCTGCGTCGGCATCGGATGGTGTTGCGTCTGTCACCCTCGAATGGCTATGTTGCTGAACTCTTCCGAGTGCTTTCAACAGTTCTACCAAACTATGCAGGCGAATTCCTACTGGAGATTTGGTGGAACATTCGCAAATCGCTATCGGATGAGGGAGCGGAGCATGTGAGTGCTGATTGGACAGCTTTCGTAGCGACTCTGCTCACTCTCGCGGTACCCTTCATCGATGAGAAGAAGGGGAAGACGGTCACTCGTGCAAAATCAACTCAGCGAAGAAGTTCTGGGCGTCCTGCAAGCCAAGCCAAGCCAGACGAGTTTATTGATGACGATGACTCAGCATGGCGTCTTATGTGCAATCGCCAGACGTCGACACCGCAGGCCAAGAGTTGGGGATCCTCTCCCTGGGCGTGGGCGTTGCACTCTAGTCCGACATCGACGGCGATGAGTCCGCCGGCCAAGCGTGACTCACTGCAGCGCCAGTTGCCAACAATCGCTCAACAGATCAGCATCAAAAACGGCATGATACCAACTTGCCTCGAACTTGCTCGTCAATATGTCCAGTCACCGATCGGCAAAGCCACCAATGACCATTGGAGACGAATGTCTCCCTCGGAGAAGCAGGATCTTCGCATATCGTCTTTGTCTGAAATTGTGGTATCGCTCCATCTCTTCCGTGAAGAGCGCAAGCTTGACACCCTGTGCCAAGATTTCTCTGATATGCAACATGGGAATCTCGCACCCGTTTTAGCACAGATTGGGCACTGGCTTCGTTGGGAAGCATGGGATTGGAGACAGGGTGGATTCTTCGATCTTGATGGGGGTTCAAGTCAGGATTGGGCATATGACGAAACCACATTGATCAGCAAAGTTCGGCTGCATGCACAGCCATGGGATGCACCTCCTTCAATTATGGAATGGATTAGTACCGTCACTGGTTCCCAGCATTATGCCCCATTCCCCACACTGGCGATGCTCATACGGAAGTCCAAAGCCTCTCCACACTCGTCCATCAACATCGACGAGATTATCGCCGGGGTAACGCCCAGGACTGTAGCATTGCACAGGTTCTTCCGCGATATAGATCCTGCATCAAGCCCTAAGAAGGTTGTAGAGCTGATCAGGACCTGCAATATCAGCCCTGAGCTGTTAGCCACATTGCCGGAAGCCGCCAAAGCACCACTCATGGAAGCTATTACGAGATGTCAGGCGAATCCACCTACTACATGGTCGAGCTCACTACTCAGACTCGTCCAGCGCGAAGACTTGGATCTTAGCCACACGCCAGTTGCAGACTTTGCCCACGATAGCCACTTGGCCACAACAGGCGGGGGTCTGCATGCAGCTGGCACACCACGAGACGTTCACACTATATGTCAAGGCGCCGATCGAATGGAAGCAATCCAATCAACATCTGAAGTTGATCGTCACTACATCACGCGACTCATCTTCCGCGAAGATAGGCGGTTCATGGAGGCATACACGCTGCTAGAGCCTCTGCGGCAGACTGTCGCAGAGTACAAGGCTGACAACCGGCAAGACGATGCAGCAATGCTTGAGGGACAGAAAGCACTTATGCAGTGGGTCATGGTGCGCACGTTCTCTCTGCCGTTAGGCAGTTCCATGATCAAGTTCAGCAGCAAGAAACCTCTGCTGACAGAGAAATACCCGCTATACGGCTTCTCCACATCATGCCTCATGAAGCCAATGGGTAACGTTGTCACTGCAGAACGGCAAAATTATTCCGAGGAGAAGTACTTTTGGGCATTCTTTAACGCTGGTGCTGCAGCTGGTCTCAGCATATCGCGCGACGCCCAAGGCATTGACACGTCATGGATCATGTACAACAAACCTTCAGAATTGACGAACAAGCATGCTGGACTGTTGCTTGGCCTTGGCCTGAATGGCCATCTGAGAACGATTGCGAAGTGGCTGTCATTCAAGTACCTTACTCCCAAACATACCATGACTTCGGTCGGCTTGTTGTTGGGCTTAGCCGCCTCATTCATGGGTACCATGGATACGCTGGTTACAAGACTGCTGTCGGTGCATGTCACAAGAATGCTTCCACAAGGAGCAGCCGAGCTAAATCTCTCTCCCTACACCCAGACCACGGGCCTGATGGGCATTGGTTTACTCTACTACAACACCCAGCACCGTCGCATGAGCGAGGTGATGCTTTCAGAGATCGAGTATGTTGAGATTCCAGACCCATCAGAACCACCAGATAGTTTGCGGGATGAAGCTTACAGGCTGGCTGCGGGCTTTGCGCTCGGCTTCATCAACCTGGGCAAGGGTAAAGATCTTAGAGGTCTCCACGATATGCGCATAGTTGAGCGTCTCATGACAGTCGCTGTAGCGCCTAAGCCCGTCAACGTTGTTCACATCCTCGATCAAGCCACAGCTGGAGCAGTCATCGCCGTTGCCCTCATCTTCATGAAGACCCACGACCAGACCGTCGCGCGTAAGATAGACATCCCGGACACGCTGCCCCAGTTCGACTACGTTCGCCCAGACATTTTCCTCCTCCGCACCCTCGCAAAACATCTCATCATGTGGGATACCATCGAAGCTTCGGACTCCTGGATCATCAAGAACCTGCCGTACGATTATCGCGAAGCCTGGGACCTCAAAGGCATTACACGACTCCGTAGCGAGCAAATGCCCTTTTACAACATCATCGCAGGTATGCTGTGGGTTGTGAGTCTCAAGCATGCTGGTACGGGGGACATTCAGGTCCGCGACTTCCTGATCAAGTATTTGGATCAACTGATACGTATCAACAAACTTCCCGCCGTACGCTATGATTCTAAGCTTTCCAAGAACACAGTCCGGAACTGTCAAGATCTCATCGCTCTAGCTGCCGCAACTGTCATGGCAGGAACTGGCGATCTCGACGTCTTCCGTCGCTTGCGCGGTCTCCATGGCCGCATTGGTCCAGATGTTCCCTACGGCTCTCATCTCGCAGCTCATATGGCCTTCGGCACTCTGTTCATCGCGGGTGGTACCCAGACCTTCAGTCGCAGCAACAAAGCCATTGCCAGTCTGATCTGCGCATTCTACCCCCTGTTTCCCTCCGACGTACAAGACTCGCGGGCCCATCTCCAGGCGTTCCGTCACTTCTGGGTACTAGCTGCCGAGCCCAGGTGTCTTGTGGTGCGAGACGTAGACACAGGACGCGCCATATCCATGCCCATCAACGTCGTCTTCAAAGAAAATCACGAAGGCAACGCGGTGCCACAAACAAAGACACTAGTAGCGCCCTGTCTCCTCCCGGAAATTCATCTCATCAGCCGCCTCGAAACAGCGGATCAGACATATTGGCCAACGACCCTAGACTTTGTACACAACCCACTTCATCTCAAATCCTTCGAGCACAACCAAACCCTAAACGTTCGCCGTCGCTCTGCACATGATACGTACGCCACGGCGTTTAGTTCTACTCTCGTCGCCCTCAACGATGCCCAATCATCCAAGACGGCCAACCTCCTCTTCCACTGGATCTTCACCCTCCCCGCGCTATCGCAATTCATATCTGCCAGCGACGCGGGACTCATACTGCCACTCGATCAATACAGTAAGAGCTGGTTGGATCCTGGAGCTACAGTTGTAGAGTCGAGGTTGGTGCTGGGTAGACTGGCGAAGAGCTGGAAGGTTGAGGAGCTGAGGGAGTTGAAGGGCGTGTTTGAGTGGGCGGATGCGGCGTGTCGGCAGAACGGGAAGCTGAGGTGGTTGGGCAGGGAGGTTGTGGAGAGGATCAAGGCGGGAGTCATGGATCGGGGGAGGGGGATGGGCGGGTAGGAGGACATGTGTGAGACGAGGGTATTTGCCGTATGAAGTTTTGAAGAGAGGAGTATGTATGTGTATGAAGTAGTATACCAAATTTGCATTGTTCAAAAGTGATGGATGATACTGCAGGTGTTCTGCTTGATCTGAGACTCCATGCCTATGATATAAATGCATGCGCGTTCAAACGTATCGTCTACCGTCTAACCATCTAACCATCATATATACATGCGTCGCAACATTAAACGTATATAAAACATGACCTCAGTCACTACTCTATTTCCCCCTCGCCTCCCTAATCCCCCATTTCCCCACCTCAGCCATCGCCTCCTCGCCTCCCTTGGCCAACCTCTCATCCTTCAACACACCAGCCAAGCACTGCCATCCATCCCTACCTCCACCCCACTTAAGCACCTCATTCTTATAGAGCTCACCATTCTCCCTATCCAAACTACCTTCCTGGCCATTATGCTGAAACACGTCTTTCCAGATCTTCGCCGCTAGTGCACGGTCAAAGAGGTAAGAATAATACGTAGCCCCGTATCCAAACAAATGGCCGAAGAAACCTTGCCAAGCCGTTCCAGCAGGCTCAGGGACAGAAGCGTATTTATTGTAAACGTCGTGGTACACTTTCGTAGAGTTGAAATTGGGGTCGGCAGCGATGGGGGAGTGGTACACTTGGTCGAGCATG